CAACTGGGAGCCAGTGGAGGGATTGGCAGAGAGGGGTGGAGGACACTGGGTGGAGGCCAGTGGAGGGATTGGCAGAGAGGGGTGGAGGACACTGAGTGGAGGCCAGTGGAAGGATTGGCAGAGGGGGGTGGAGGACACTGAGTGGAGGCCAGTGGAGGGATTGGCAGAGGGGGGTGGAGGACACTGAGTGGAGGCCACTGGAGGGATTGGCAGAGGGGGGTGGAGGACACTGAGTGGAGGCCAGTGGAGGGATTGGCAAAGAGGGGTGGTAGATACAGAACAGTTAGTGAGGTGGAGAAGTCTGGCAGCAGCATTCATGATAGACTGGAGAGGGGAAAGCCTGTGATGAGGTCGGCCAATGAGGAGGGAGTTACAGTAGTTGAGGCGTGATATAACAAGGGAGTGAATAAGTTGCTTAGTGGTTTCCGAGGTTAGGAACGGGCGTATCTTGGAGATGTTGTGGAGGTGAAGTCTAAATGATTGTGTCAGTGATTGGATTTGGGGCTGGAAGGACAGATTGGAGTCCAGGATTACACCTAGTACCCTGGCATAAGGGGATGGACTGAGGATGGTGTTATCAATATTTATGGTGAAGTCAGTGGGGGTGGCGCGGGCTGGGGGGAATACTAGGAGCTCAGTTTTGGAAAGGTTGAGTTTGAGGAAGTGGAGTGACATCCAAGCCGATATGTCAATTAGTAGGCTAGCGATGCGGGTGGAGACTGTAGGGGTGAGGTGTGGAGGAGACTGAAGGGGTGAGGTGAGGGGTAGACAGATAGATTTGTGTGTCATCAGCATACAGATGGTAATTGAAGCCGTGGGAGTTTATCAAGTGTCCAAGGGAGGAGGTGTAGATGGAGAAGAGAAGGGGTCCAAGGACAGAACCTTGAGGGACCCCTACAGAGAGAGGGAGTGAGGAGGAGGTGGTGGCAGCATTATAGGTAACACTGAAGGAGCGCTGCGATAGGTAGGTGGAGAACCAGGAGAGAGCGGAGTCTCTGAGGCCAAGAGTGTAATTTTTTTGAGGAGGAGGGGGTGGTCAACCGTATCAAAAGTCTCGGAGAGGTCGAGTAGTAGGAGTATTGAATAGTGGCTGTTGGTTTTAGCAGTTAGTAGATCATTACTTCCAGAGTCCTTGATGATTTCATAAGCCCTTCCCCTGTGGTGCTAGTGGAAGGGATCTACACAAGAGCTCTCCTGGACTTAAGTGATTTGGCTGACTTGAGTCTTCTGTAACAAGCACTTGAAGTGTATACAGTACCTCTGCAAAAGTTGGACTTAGAGTTTCAAGGCATCAGAGCAGAGAAGAACTCCTGTGACAGTTACTTGCAGTTCAAGTTGTTGTTTACTCTGCAAGCTGTTGGAAAAGCCTGGACCTTTGACACATTGGCCATTGTATGTTCTCAGACACCAGGATCCATGAGATGTTCTCTGATGACAAACATATCATTCTTTACCCCCACCCGGGACAATGTGTGACCAACGTTTTCCTTTGGAATATATATCAGAACTCTGGGCAGTGGATGACACATGGATCTGGGAAGTCTGGTCTCATGGTGGTCCACTACAAGACACAAAGCTGAGAAGACCTGCTTGTTTTGTGTGTGGTCACCATGAGAAGCTGGTCTGTGCCCAATGTAAGCAAGCCCTAGAGGAGCAGCCATCTTCCCTGCCACAGGATTCGGAGATAAGTTCAGGTGACCAACCTGATACCCATAACCTATCCTTCAAGGCCAAACCTACACAACTACTGGGCTCTGCTAATCCAATGTTAAGGATTAAACTCATTCTGCAGCACTAACTGGCACATCATTTACACCAGTTGGAGCCGGTCAATTTCCAGCTGCAGCAGAAGGGGTTTGCTGATTCCATGGAGTCCCGGGAAGAACGAGTCTATAAAGACAAACTGGTTGACTGAACAGAAATGTGGCTATGGAGACTTTCTTACCAAGATATGAAATGGCTTGTCACCAGTACTGTTTGTCCAAGGAACGATGGGCTTGGTACCTTGCACCAAAGCTGTTAGGCAGGGCCCTAGAAGCATTTGTGAATCTTCTAGAGGACGAAAAAGGGGGCTATGAGGACATTACTAAACAGTACCACCTCATGCCAGAGGTGTACAGCAAGAACTGCTAGACTTGCAGCAAGGCCTGAATTACACCTACTGTACATAGACCTTGCTTGCAGTTTTGCATGCTGATTTCTAGTAGTAGCTGAGGGAACTGTCTAAGCACCTTTGACACCCAGCAGGAGCTGATTGTGAAGAACTAGGATCTCCCCACATGTCCTGTTGAGGTCTGGCAGTTAGTACTGGACCAAGATCCAAAATAGCTGGTAGACAAATATGAGTAAAGTTCAATCCCCCATGGAGCCTACATCTCCACCTGAGGCCCTGGGCTGGGAATGGGAGGGCTCAGCCCTGGCAGGAATCCAGAGCCAAGGCCTGGGGTGGAGCCTAAAGCCATGGTGAATTCTGTAACTGACCTGCATTTCCCAGCGGTATTCTTCTCATACCTGTCACTGCTTACCACATCAAGAAAACCATCGACGGAAGGGTCTGATCTACATTAACCATGCTGGACAACCTACTCCTCTGAATCTGACCCAAAGGTCTTGTGGTCTCCTCGGCCTATTGTCTCTTTAACAGATACCTCTTAGTTCTTAGAGGTTTTAAAGTTGACTGGGGCCTGGAGGAGCTCATGGGCCTGGCTGATGGACTGCTGTTCGGGATGATATGAAGGTGCTTACTGGATTTCCCATGTGCTCCCACCAACAGGACAAAATGATGTTACCCAACTGGAGTAAAGTGATTCCGCTAACTGGCTGGATAGAGTTACAAAGCTGTGTGTAGGAGTTCCTCTACTGTGTGATAAAGGAGACCTCAGATGGAAGAATGGCAGATGCTATTGTGGAGCTCCACTGAAAATTCCCCTTCTCTGGCTGCCATGCTGGGATTAATGGATTCCGGAACACTGACTGTCTGCATGCTTGTTCTGGTCCTTAGATGGAAAGTGCTGCAGACTGAAGTAGCCAAGGACGTGGCACTTTTAAAAGGATCTTGGTAATGGCCACACCTGTATTTCTATTGTTGGGTGTGGTGAGGGCCCAGGCCTTGGTGAGTCACCTGAGGGCAATGTTAGCAGAGACAAATCCATAAGCTGCGCATCAGATAGCCGACCCATGAGGAGGAGTGAATGGCAGCCTCAGCCTGAGCTCCACCCTCAAGATTGAACTCCAAGGGGTGGAGCGAAACATGTTGGAGGCATGGCCTGGTTGGAGCCCAGGCTGAGGCTGCCATTTACTCCTCCACATGGGGTCTGCTTATGGATATTTCTCTCCTGACATTGCCATAGCTTGGAGCCTGCACGAGCTCCCTTCCCAGCCAGCACTCACAGTAGACCTTCCCTCTCATCTGAACGCCACCTACATTTTGCTTTTGGGTCACCTGAGGGTAACATTCGCCCAATCAGTGAAGATCATTGATGGATCCCCCATCTCATGTGTGTGTCCCCGTTGCCCAGCTAATTCCCCCGACATACCATGGAGTGAGATGGAGTAGAAAGTTACCGGCATTTTATTGAGGTACACGGGCCGGCGCAGCAAAAATCACTTTACATTAAATATATTATATACACATCATTATATACAGAGCAAGTACACGGTGTGTCAGTGTGTCAGTGTGTGTCAGTGTGTGTCAGTGTGTGTGGTGGGGGGTGTACAGAAATGGCGAGCAGATTTCTAGTTTAGAAAACATTTAGTAAAAATTAAAATCTCCAAAGATAAAACCACAAAACAAAAAACAGTTCAACATTCTTCCTGTAATGTTGCCAGTTGTCTGGACACTTTGTGGGGACAGTGGCAGTTGTCTGGATGGTTTTTGGGGACAGTGGCAGTTTTTAGGACACTTTGTGGGGACAGTGGCAGTTGTCTGGACACTTTGTGGGGACAGTGGCAGTTGTCAGGACACTTTGTGGGGACACTGGCAGTTGTCTGGACACTTTGTGGGGACACTGGCAGTTGTCTGGACACTTTGTGGGGACAGTGGCAGTTGTCTGGACACTTTGTGGGGGACAGTGGCAGCTGTCTGGATACTCTGTGGGGACACTGTTAGTTGTTAGGATAGTTTGTGGGGACAGTGTCAGTTGTCTGGATGGTTTTTGGGGACAGTGGCAGTTGTCTGGACACTTTGTGGGGACAGTGGCAGTTGTCTGGACACTTTGTGGGGACAGTGGCAGTTGTCTGGACACTTTGTGGGGACAGTGGCAGTTGTCTGGACACTTTGTGGGGACAGTGGCAGTTGTCTGGACACTTTGTGGGGACAGTGGCAGTTGTCTGGACACTTTGTGGGGACAGTGGCAGTTGTCTGGACACTTTGTGGGCACACTGGCAGTTGTCTGGACACTTTGTGGGCACACTGGCAGTTGTCTGGACACTTTGTGGGCACACTGGCAGTTGTCTGGACACTTTGTGGGCACACTGGCAGTTGTCTGGACACTTTGTGGGCACACTGGCAGTTGTCTGGACACTTTGTGGGGACACTGGCAGTTGTCTGGACACTTGGTGGGGACACTGGCAGTTGTCTGGACACTTGGTGGGGACACTGGCAGTTGTCTGGACACTTGGTGGGGACACTGGCAGTTGTCTGGACACTTTTTGCTTGGTATGGTGATAGCTGTCTGGATGCTTCTTGGTGGGGAGTGGTAGTTGTCTGGATGATGCTTACTGGGGGTGGTGGTAGATGTTTGGATTCTCCCTGGGATGGTGGCACATGGTTTTTGGTGGCAGTTTCTGGAAAGAAATGACCCACACATGGCACCAGAATCTTGTTCTTATTGCCCCCCCCCCCCAGGCCCACCGTGGCAGTCTGTCCATGCTGGCAGATGTATGAGTGAGGTGGACATAGGCAGTGATATCTTCCAGTAAGAAGGCCATTTCTGGCTCTGTCAGTCTATGGTGGGAAGGATGAGGAGAGGCTTTGGATGGTCTTCTCTCCGGATGTCTCTCTAAGACTTATACTGCAACGTGAAGCACACTCGTCCTTGGAATTTGTCCCGGTCGTCATTGGTGATGATGTTGGCAGCGTTCACAAAACATTCCACCTGATGGTCTATGTTTTGTGTCAGGTTCAGGAATTGCACCGCCACAAACGGCTGGGTGTAGTTTGGCTGTAGGAGAGGGGAGAGCAGAGAGGAATCAGTGACTATCTGAAGGGGAATCAAATTCTACCCTGGACTGAGGCAAAATATGAGACAATTCCCATTATAGAAGATTGGGCAGACCCCAACAGACTGTACAACCATATCCTCAGATGTTCACACTGCCTGATACCTGGGGTAAGTCTTGGTGTTCTGCCCCCTCTTGTACCCTGTAGGAGGTTCTCACCTTACCTTGGTGTCTATAGTAGGGGTAATACATGAATGGACCCAATGAATTGTACAGTTCTATCCTCTGATGTTCACACTGCCCTAGACCTGGGGTAAGTCTTGGTGTTCTGCCCCCTATGGCACCCTTTGAGAGGTCCTTACCCATGCCCAGTTTCCATAGTAGGGGCAATACATGGATGGATTTGATGGACTGTATAATCCCAGCCCTATATCCAGGATAAGGCTTGGTGTTCTGTCCCTCCCTGGCACCCTGCAGGAGGCTCTTACTCATACCCAGTTTCCATAGTAGGTGTAATACATGGATTGACCCAATGGACTGGACAGTCCAATACCCAGATGTTCACATTGACCAATACCTGGGGTAAGTATTGACGTTCTGCCCCCTCTGGCATCCTGCAGGAGGTCCTTACCTGTGCCCAGTTTTCATGGCAGGGGTAATATATGGAAGGACCCAATGGACTTTAAGGTCCTATCCCCAGATGTTCTTACTGCCCTATACCTGGGGTAAGACTTGGTGTTCTGCCCCCTCTGGCACCCTGTGGGAGGTCCTTACCTGCACCCAGTTTCAATAGTAGGGGTAGTACATGGACGGACCCAATGGACTGGACAGTCCCAGATGTTCACATTGCCTATACCCGGGGTACGTCCTGATGTTCTGCCCCCTCTGGCACCCTTTGAAAGGTCCTTACCTATGCCCAGTTTCTATGGTAGGGGTAATATATGGAAGGACTGAACAGTCCTATCCCCAGATGTTCACATTGCCCTATACCTGGGGAAAGGCTTGGTATCCACCCTCTAGGGCACCCTTCAAGAGGTAATTACCCATGCCCAGTTTCCATGGTAGGGGTAATATATGGAAGGACCCAATGGACTGTACAGTCCTATCCCCAGATGTTCTTACTGCCCTATACCCGGGTAAGTCTTGGTGTTCTGCCCCCTCTGGCACCCTGTGGGAGGTCCTTACCTGTGCCCGATTTCCATAGTAGGGGTAGTACTTAAGGTCGATGCTGCCCAGGCCCTGGCTGGTGCTGGGGAAGTAGACTCTGCTGCCCAGGAGATTGTCGTTCTAGGAGAGGAGAGAGGCATCAGACACTGGAGTGATATCACAATTATTGATTATCCATCACTTCCCATCATACGTCCCATGGGGATTATTTTATATTGGAATTCTCATTCTTATATCACCGGAACCCCTGAGAAGACGCTACACAAGAACAAGATTTTCTCTGTTCCTATTACTGCCAATCCCGGGACAGGCCGGGACAATAATCAATAATCTATAGATTGCAGGGGAATAATCAAGATGAGGAGTAATGGCGTCTATATGGCCCTGGATGATCTTCCCCATATATCATTGGAACAATTCTAACATACAGGTGAAACTCAAAAAATGAGAATCTGGTGAAAAAGTTCATTTATTTCAGTGCAGCAATTTAGAAGGTGAAACTAATACATGAGACTCATTCCATGCAAAGCAAGATAGTTCAAGCCGTGATTTGTCATCATTGTGATGATTATGGCTTACAGCTCATGAAAACCCCAAATCCACAATCTCAGAAAATGAGAATCTTGTGAAAAGGTGGAATAATCTCGGCTCAAAGTGTCCCACTCTAATCAGCTCATTCAGCCATAACACCTGCAAAGGGTTCCTGAGCCTTTCAATGGTCTCTCAGTCTGGTTCAGTAGGAATCACAATCATGGGAAAGACTGCTGACCTGACACCATCACTGACACCCTCCATAAGGAGGGAAAGCCTCAAAAGGGAATTGCAGAAGAAGTTGGATGTTCCCAAAGTGCTGTATCAAAGCACATTAATAGAAAGTTATGTGGAAGGGAAAAGTGTGGAAGAAAAAGGTGCACAAGCAGCAGGGATGACCGCAGCCTGGAGAGGATTGTCAGGAAAAGGCCATTCAAATTGTTGGGGACTTTCACAAGGAGTGGACTGAGGCTGGAGTCAGTGCATCAAGAGCCACCACACACAGACGGATCCTGGACATGGGCTTCAAATGTCGTATTCCTCTTGTCAAGCCGCTCCTGAACAACACACAATGCCAGAAGCGTCTCACCTGGGCTAAAGAAAAACAGACCTGGTCTGTGCTCAGTGGTCCAAACTCCTCTTTTCTGGTGAGATAGCAACTTTTGCATCTCATTTGGAAACCAAGGACCCTGAGTATGGAGGAAGAATGGAGAGGCCCAAGGACCCCGAGTATGGAGGAAGAATGGAGAGGCCCAAGGACCCCGAGTATGGAGGAAGAATGGAGAGGCCCAAGGACCCCGAGTATGGAGGAAGAATGGAGAGGCCCAAGGACCCCGAGTATGGAGGAAGAATGGAGAGGCCCAAGGACCCCGAGTATGGAGGAAGAATGGAGAGGCCCAAGGATCCCGAGTATGGAGGAAGAATGGAGAGGCCCAAGGTCCCCGAGTATGGAGGAAGAATTGAGAGGCCCAAGGACCCCGAGTATGGAGGAAGAATGGAGAGGCCCAAGGACCCCGAGTATGGAGGAAGAATGGAGAGGCCCAAGGACCCCGAGTATGGAGGAAGAATGGAGAGGCCCAAGGATCCCGAGTATGGAGGAAGAATGGAGAGGCCCAAGGTCCCCAAGTATGGAGGAAGAATGGAGAGGCCCAAGGTCCCCGAGTATGGAGGAAGAATGGAGAGGCCCAAGGTCCCCGAGTATGGAGGAAGAATGGAGAGGCCCAAGGACCCCGAGTATGGAGGAAGAATGGAGAGGCCCAAGGGCCCAGAATGTGGAGGAAGAATGGAGAGGCCCAAGGGCCCAGAATGTGGAGGAAGAATGGAGAGGCCCAAGGGCCCCGAGTGTGGAGGAAGAATGGAGAGGCCCAAGGGCCCCGAGTGTGGAGGAAGAATGGAGAGGCCCAAGGGCCCCGAGTGTGGAGGAAGAATGGAGAGGCCCAAGGGCCCCGAGTGTGGAGGAAGAATGGAGAGGCCCAAGGACCCCGAGTGTGGAGGAAGAATGGAGAGGCCCAAGGACCCCGAGTGTGGAGGAAGAATGGAGAGGCCCAAGGACCCCGAGTGTGGAGGAAGAATGGAGAGGCCCAAGGACCCCGAGTGTGGAGGAAGAATGGGGAGGCCCAAGGACCCCGAGTGTGGAGGAAGAATGGGGAGGCCCAAGGACCCCGAGTGTGGAGGAAGAATGGAGAGGCCCAAGGGCCCCGAGTATGGAGGAAGAATGGAGAGGCACACACTGCAAGATGCTTGAAGTCCAGTGTGAAGTTTCCACAGTCTGTGTTGGTTTGGGGAACAATGTCATCTGCTGGTGTTGGCCCACTGTGCTTCATTAAGTCCAGGGTCACCGCAGCCGTCTACCAGGAGATTTTGGAGCACTTCCTGCTTCCTTCTGCAGACCAGCTTTATGGGGATGCTGACTTCATTTTCCAGTAGGACTTGGCTCCGCCCACACTGCCAAAAGCACCAAAACCTGGTTCAATGACCGTGGGATTACTGTGCTTGATTGGCCAGCAAACTGGCCTGACCTGAACCCCATAGAGAATCTATGGGACATTGCCAAGAGAAAGATGAGAGACATGAGACGTAACAATGCAGAAGAGCTGAAGGCCGCTATTGAAGCATCCTGGTCTTCCATAACACCTCAGCAGGGCCACAGGCTGATAGCTTCCATGCCACGCCGCATTGAGGCAGTAATTGCTGCAAAAGGGGCCCCAACCAAGTACTGAGTACATATGCAGCTTCTACTTTTCAGAGGTGCGATATTGTTCTATGTACAATCCGTGTTTTTATTGATTGCATGGAATATTCTCATTTTCTGAGATTGTGGATTTGGGGTTTTCATGAGCTGTAAGTCATAATCATCACAATGATGACAAATCACGGCTGGAACTATCTTGCTTTGCATGGAATGAGTCTCATATATTAGTGTCACCTTTTAAGTTGCTGCACTGAAATCAATGAATGAATGAATGCACCAGATTCTCATAGTTCCAGTTTCACCTGTATAGTGTATTCTCTGTAGCAGGATATATGTATAGGGAAGGGTCTATAACATGAATATACACATTTTCTATATGTTCCACCTCTTCCTGCCTCATCTACCACATTCTGTATATTCCATATACTGGGTGCCTGCATGGGGTAAGGGCAGAGGCTGTCTATGGGGGCTATCAGGTGCATCTCTATGGTCCATATAAATGTCTATACAGATTCTCTATATGTTCCATCTCTATCTGCCTCCTCTATAGGGTTACATTCCATATTCTGTATCATAGGGGTGTATATTGTCTATATGGATATCTGTATGAGCCATAGGCTGGGGCTGGCTATGGGGGTCTATAGGGGGGCTAAGTTATAGATCTTATATATGTTCCACCTCTACCTGCCTCTTCTATAGGGTTACATTCCATATTCTGTATCATAGGGGTGTATATTGTCTATATGGGTATCTGTATGAGCCATAGGCTGGGGCTGGCTATGGGGGTCTATAGGGGGCTAAGTTATAGATCTTATATATGTTCCACCTCTACCTTCCTCCTCTATAGGGTTCCATATTCTGTATCATAGGGGTGTATATTGTCTATATGGGTATCTGTATGAGCCATAGGCTGGGGCTGGCTATGGGGGTCTATAGGGGGCTAAGTTATAGATCTTCTATATGTTCTACCTCTACCTGCCTCCTCTATAGGGGTACCCATATACCTATACAGTATATAATAGGGATGTCTTTTTTTTATACTGGGAATGACATAAAAGGAGGTTTAGGGTTGGAAATGCGTTTATAGGGCGGCTCTATGGCATCTTCCATGGGCTCCACCCTTATCCAGATATACTATGTATGTCTCTCCCTATCAGGGGCATGTTTATTTCTTTATAATAGGGAGGTGCAGTCCTTATGACATGGAAGGGTGGACTATGAGGTTCTCTAGGAGGAGCCTATGGTGCCCCCTATAGGCCCCACCTCTCATTGTCTCATTTACAGCCAGTTTTTTCTTCTGTAGACAATGAAGAGAGGTAATGACAAGCTGTGAGCCCACCATATACTCACCTTGGCGGTACAGTTGATGGTGATGGAGGTGTTGGAGAAGCCCGGGATGATTCGTGGGATGAAACTTACCACCTGTCATAATAGAGAAGAATGATGAGGACCAACACTCAGAGGTACAGCGATGGGGCTAATGCATAGAGACACTGGCTCACAGACTAGGAGGTGGGGTAACATTCACAGAGATGGAGGGTGACATATAGAGGGATGGGAGGGCAACATATAAAGATGGGATAGGGGGGTAAGATACTATAGAGATTTGGGGTAACATATAGAGGGGGGGTAACATTCAGAGAGATAGAGGGGCGGGGGGGTAGCATATGGAGGTGGCGGGTAATATATAGTGGGGTGGGGGGCAACAACCTATAGAGATGGGGTAATATATATATATATATATATATATATATATATATATATATAGGGGTAACAGCCGATAAAGATGGGGAGTAACATATAGAGGGACGGGGGGTAAAATGCTATAGAGATGGGGGTAACATATAGAGGGGCAGGGGGGTAACAAACTATAGAGATGAGGGGTAACATAAAGAGAGATGGAGGGTGACACATAGAGATGGGGGGGACATATAGAAGGATGGTGTGTAAAATATTATAGAGATGGGGGTAACATACAGAGGGGTGGGGGGGTAACCAACTATGGAGTTGGGGGTAACATATAGAGGGATGGATGGTAAAATACTATACAGATGGGAGTAACATATACAGGGGGGTATCAAGGATGGTGGGTAAAATATTATAGAGATGGAGGGTAACATATAGAGGGTTGAGGGGTAAAATACTTCAGAGAGGGGGGTAACATAAAGAGGGGAGGGGGAAACAAACTATAGAGATGGGGGTACAATACTATAGAAATGGGGGTAACATATAGAGGTATAGAGGGTAACATATAGGGGTATAGAGGGTAACATATAGAGATGGAGGGTAACATATAGGGGTATAGAGGGTAACATATAGAGATGGAGGGTAACATATAGGGGTATAGAGGGTAACATATAGAGATGGAGGGTAACATATAGGGGTATGGAGGGTAAGATATAGAGATGGAGGGTAACATATAGGGGTATAGAGGGTAACATATAGAGATGGAGGGTAACATATAGGGGTATGGAGGGTAAGATATAGAGATGGAGGGTAACATATAGGGGTATAGAGGGTAACATATAGAGATGGAGGGTAACATATAGAGATGGAGGGTAACATATAGGGGTATAGAAGGTAACATATAGGGGTATAGAGGGTAACATATAGAGATGGAGGGTAACATATAGAGATGGAGGGTAACATATAGGGGTATAGAGGGTAACGTATAGAGATGGAGGGTAACATATAGAGATGGAGGGTAACATATAGAGATGGAGGGTAACATATAGGGGTATAGAGGGTAACATATAGAGATGGAGGGTAACATATAGGGGTATAGAGGGTAATATATAGAGATGGAGGGTAACATATAGGGGTATGGAGGGTAAGATATAGAGATGGAGGGTAACATATAGGGGTATAGAGGGTAACATATAGGGGTATAGAGGGTAAACATATAGAGATGGAGGGTAACATATAGGGATATAGAGGGTAATATATAGAGATGGAGGGTAACATATAGGGGTATAGAGGGTAACATATAGAGATGGAGGGTAACATATAGAGGTATAGAGGGTAACATATAGAGATGGAGGGTAACATATAGGGGTATAGAGGGTAACATATAGAGATGGAGGGTAACATATAGGGGTATAGAGGGTAACATATAGAGATGGAGGGTAACATATAGGGATATAGAGGGTAACATATAGAGATGGAGGGTAACATATAGGGGTATAGAGAGTAACATATAGAGATGGAGGGTAACATATAGAGGTATAGAGGGTAACATATAGAGATGGAGGGTAACATATAGGGGTATAGAGGGTAACATATAGAGATGGAGGGTAACATATAGGGGTATAGAGGGTAACATATAGGGGTATAGAGGGTATCATATAGAGGTATAGAGGGTAACATATAGAGATGGAGGGTAACATATAGGGGTATAGAAGGTAACATATAGAGATGGAGGGTAACATATAGGGGTATAGAGGGTAACATATAGAGATGGAGGGTAACATATAGGGGTATAGAGGGTAATATATAGAGATGGAGGGTAACATATAGGGGTATGGAGGGTAACATATAGGGGTATAGAGGGTAACATATAGGGGTATAGAGGGTAACATATAGGGGTATAGAGGGTAACATATAGAGATGGAGGGTAACATATAGGGGTATAGAGGGTAACATATAGGGGTATAGAGGGTAACATTCAGAGATGGAGGGTAACATATAGGGGTATAGAGGGTAACGTATAGAGGGTAATGTATAGAGGTATAGAGGGTAACATATAGGGGTATAGAGGGTAACATATAGGGGTATAGAGGGTAACATTCAGAGATGGAGGGTAACATATAGGGGTATAGAGGGTAACGTATAGAGGGTAATGTATAGAGGTATAGAGGGTAACATATAGGGGTATAGAGGGTCACATATAGGGGTATAGAGGGTAACATATAGGGGTATAGAGGGTAAGATATAGAGATGGAGGGTAACATATAGAGGTATAAAGGGTAACATATAGGGGTATGGAGGGTAAGATATAGAGGTATAGAGGGTAACATATAGGGGTATAGAGGGTAACATTCAGAGATGGAGGGTAACATATAGGGGTATAGAGGGTAACATTCAGAGATGGAGGGTAACATATAGGGGTATAGAGGGTAACATTCAGAGATGGAGGGTAACATATAGGGGTATAGAGGGTAACATTCAGAGATGGAGGGTAAGGGGGTATAGAGATATGGGGGTGTTTAATATTTGGTCAATCTCTCCCACTCCATTTCCCAAGATGCCTCACCCGGTTCATTTTGATGAGCACACATGGCATTCCATTGGCATATCCATAGGAGGTATCATTCAGCCCGGAGCAGCTACCTAGAAGGTCCCGTGTGAACTGACAAGCTTGCTTGGGGGCAGTGATGTTGTCCTGTTTGAAGTAGTCTTGGAATGCACAATTGATGCCTCTTTGCTGCTGGGTGAATTGGTCATAACCTGCGGGACAGAAGCAAGAAGGTTCCTCAGAGAGATGGGACATTAGATTGGACCTGCACTTCTGAGAAATATCATGGATGACAGATAGAAGGTATAGGAGATCTTTGTGGACTCACCTTGCAGAGCAGAATCGATGCCATCAACATACTGCTGCCAGGTACTGTTCTGTCCATTAAACGTGATCTGTAGGGACTGTATGTTGGGTCTGATCATTAACCCTGCAAGGAGAGAGGACACAGATATGAATAAAGAAAAATGTGTTGATGGTGTGCTAACTCCTGGTATAAAATGTTCTCCTTATTGACTGACAGCTCTGCCTTTCCACCATGTTCTCCCCAAAGACCAATGTCCCAGTGCTTCGTGATTTCTACAGACCGACTGATCGTCTACTCCACCATGATCTCCACAAAGACTGACAGTTCACCCACTGTACCAAGACCTCATCACAGACTGATGGTTTTCTCTACTCCTCCATGTTCTTCCCAAAGACTGACAGCTTCCCTCTTTACATCCATTTGCTCCTGAAAGGTTAACAGCTCACCCACACCACCATGTTCTCCCCAAAGACTGACAGTTCACCCACTGCACCGAGACCTCCCCACAGACTCACTGTTCATATACTCCACCATGTTCTCCTCAAAGACTTACGGTTTGTCTACACCATGTTCACCACAAGGACTGACAGTTCACCCACTGCACCAAGACCTCCCCACAGACTCACTGTTCATATACTCCACCATGTTCTACTCAAAGACTTACGGTTTGTCTACACCATGTTCACCACAAGGACTGACAGTTCACCCACTGCACCAAGACCTCCCCACAGACTCACTGTTCATATACTCCACCATATTCTCCCCAAAGACTTATGGTTCACCCACTGCATCATAACCTCCCCACAGACAGACAGATTGCCTACTCTACCATGTTCTCCCAAAGACTGATGGCTTGCCCACTCCACCATGTTCTCCCCAAAGAATGAAAGTTTCCCCCTTTCCATCCTTTTTCTTCTCAAAGGTTAACAGTTCTTCCCAAAGACTGACAGTTTGTTTACTCCACCATGTTCTCCCCAAAGACTGATGTCTCACCTACATTGCAGTGTGCTCCCTAAAGACTGAGGGTTCACCCACTGCACCAAGACCTCCCCACAGACTCACAGACTGTTCATATACTCCACCATATTCTTCCCAAAAACCGATTGTTCACCCACTGCATCATGACCTCCCCACGGACAGACATATTACCTAATCCAACATGTTCTCCCAAAGACTGATGTCTTGCCCACTCCACCATGTTCTCTCCAAAGGTTGATGGTTCACCCACTGCATCATGACCTCCCCACAGACTGACACATCGGCTATTCCACCATATTCTTCACAAAGCCTGACAGTTCACACACTAAACTATGACCTCCCCACAGACTAATGGTTTATCTGCTCCAACATGTTCTCCCCAAAGAATAAAAGCTTCCCCCTTTCCATCTTTTTCTCCTCAAAGGTTAACAGCTCGCCCACTCATCCATGTTCTCCCCACAGACTGATGGTTTGTCTACTCCACCATGTTCTCCCCAAAGACTGATGGTTTGTCTACTCCACCATGTTCTCCGCAAAGACTGATGGTTTGTCTACTCCACCATGTTCTCCCCAAAGACTGATGGTTTGTCTACTCCACCATGTTCTCCCCAAAGACTGATGGTTTGTCTACTCCACCATGTTCTCCCCAAAGACTGATGGTTTGTCTACTCCACCATGTTCTCCCCAAAGACTGATGGTTTGTCTACTCCACCATGTTCTCCCCAAAGACTGATGGTTTGTCTACTCCACCATGTTCTCCCCAAAGACTGATGGTTTGTCTACTCCACCATGTTCTCCCCAAAGACTGATGGTTTGTCTACTCCACCATGTTCTCCCCAAAGACTGATGGTTTGTCTACTCCACCATGTTCTCCCAAAGACTGATGGTTTGTCTACTCCACCATGTTCTCCCCCAAAGACTGATGGTTTGTCTACTCCACCATGTTCTCCCCAAAGACTGATGGTTTGTCTACTCCACCATGTTCTCCCCAAAGACTGATGGTTTGTCTACTCCACCATGTTCTCCCCAAAGACTGATGGTTTGTCTACTCCACCATCTTCTCCCCAAAGACTGATGGTTTGTCTACTCCACCATCTTCTCCCCAAAGACTGATGGTTTGTCTACTCCACCATCTTCTCCCCAAAGACTGATGTCTCACCTACTCTGCAATGTACTCCCCAAAAACTGAGTTGACCCCTTCACCATGACCTCATGAAAGATTGCCAGCTTTCCCTCTCCCTCTTCAGACATATAGGGCCTCATCCCAGTCCTCACAGTGCAGACACATCGTTGGACATTTCCCCTGTATCTCTTGCACCGTATTCTGCTCTCTATTTCCTGCTTGGGGGGTTTTTCTTGTTCTGAGATATTTGCATCCAGCTTTCTCCATCACAGAGAGGTCTCTTGGTGGTACACAATGAACTTCTCCAACTAATCAATGCAACCCCCCATGGGAAACAGATGATGAGCCTTAGGGGGATTCCCTCTTACCTGGATTTAATAGTCGATCTTCATATTTTGGATAATTTTCGTCGATGGTCTGCAGCATCACAAACAGACAGAGAGCAAAGATTCCGGAGAGGACAGCATAGAACACCAAATAGAAGATGATGATCAGAGCTGGGGGGAGGAGGCAAAGGAAGAATCATATTCATCTCGTATCTTGTGTAAGGACCAGGACCCACCTAATAACACAGGGACAGAGGACAGAGAGGGCCCCCGGAACTGTGATGTGGGTGCTGTAGAGGAGGATCCCCTTGAATGGTAATGTGGGGTGCTGTAGAGGAGGATCCCCTTGAATGGTGATGTGGGGTGCAATAGAGAATGATTCCCCTAAAATGTGATGTGGGGTGCTGTAGAGGAGGATCCCCCTGAACTGTGATGTGGGGTGCTGTAGAGGAGGATCCCCTTGAATGGTGATGTGGGGTGCTGTAGAGGAGGATCCCCTTGAACGGTGATGCGAGGTGTTGTAGAGGAGGATCCCCATGAACTGTGATGTGGGGTGCAATAGAGAATGATCGCCGTGAACGGTGATGTAAGGTGCTGTAAAGGAGGATTCCCCTGAATGGTGATGTGGAGTGCTGTAGAGGAGGGTTCCCCTGAATGGTTATGTGGGGTGCAGTAGAGGAGGGTTCCCCTGAACGGTGATGTGGGGTGCTGTAGAGGAGGGTTCCCCTGAACGGTGATGTGGGGTGTAGAGGAGGGTTCCCCTGAACGGTGATGTGGGGTGTTGTAGAGGAGGGTTCCCCTGAATGGTGATGTGGGGGTGCTGTAGAGGAGGGTTCCCCTGAACGGTGATGTGGGGTGCTGTAGAGGAGGGTTTCCCTGAATGGTGATGTGGGGTGCTGTAGAGGAGGGTTCCCCTGAATGGTGATGTGGGGTGCTGTAGAGGAGGGTTCCCCTGAATGGTGATGTGGGGTGCTGTAGTGGAGGGTTCCCCTGAATGGTGATGTAAGGTGCTGTAGAGGAGGGTTCCCCTGAATGGTTATGTGGGGTGCAGTAGAGGAGGGTTCCCCTGAACGGTGATGTGGGGTGCTGTAGAGGAGGGTTCCCCTGAACGGTGATGTGGGGTGTAGAGGAGGGTTCCCCTGAACGGTGATGTGGGGTGTTGTAGAGGAGGGTTCCCCTGAATGGTGATGTGGGGGTGCTGTAGAGGAGGGTTCCCCTGAACGGTGATGTGGGGTGCTGTAGAGGAGGGTTCCCCTGAACGGTGATGTGGGGTGCTGTAGTGGAGGGTTCCCCTGAATGGTGATGTGGGGTGCTGTAGAGGAGGGTTCCCCTGAATGGTGATGTGGGGTGCTGTAGAGGAGGGTTCCCTGAATGGTGATGTGGGGTGCTGTAGAGGAGGGTTCCCCTGAATGGTGATGTGGGGTGCTGTAGAGGAGGGCTCCCCTGAATGGTGATGTGGGGTGCTGTAGAGGAGGGTTCCCCTGAATGGTGATGTGGGGTGCTGTAGAGGAGGGCTCCCCTGAATGGTGATGTGGGGTGCTGTAGTGGAGGGTTCCCCTGAATGGTGATGTGGGGTGCTGTAGAGGAGGGCTCCCCTGAATGGTGATGTGGGGTGCTGTAGAGGATGATGTCAATATACAAACAATATTAGTGATAGGACATAATGATGTTATAGATGGGGGTCCACCCACCCACCCACTGGTGTCCCTGCTACCCCATCCATATTATGGAACCCCCCAACCCCATAGATTCCCCCTCTTCTTACCCCAGCTGCTGCCGGTGCGCCCCATGAACTCCCGAGTTTTGGGGTTCCATATAAACTCCTTCATCTCATCAAAGAACTTTCTCCAGGTCCTGTTCATGGTGAGGGCTGCCATCTTCCCTGACCTGCTTCTTGCTGCCTCTGATCCTGGCACTGCGCTGCACTGAAGTTTTATCCTCTCATGGGACACGCCCCCCTCATTAATAGTCAGCGTATGCCCGCCCCCACCTGGGAATAAGGCGGAGGTGTCAGACTGGAATCACAGGTCACCCCCCCCCCCCCCCGTATTCTAATTATAGTCTTCTTACTGTACAAGATGTATACTATATACCGGGATATATACAATGTATACTATATACTGTACACCGGGATATATACGATGTATACTATATACTGTACACCGGGATATATACAATGTATACTATATACTGTACACCGGGATATATACGATGTATACTATATACTGTATACCGGGATATATACAATGTATACTATATACTGTATACCGGGATATATACAATGTATACTATATACTGTACACCGGGATATATACAAAATGTATACTATATACTGTATACCGGGATATATACGATGTATACTATATACTGTACACCGGGATATATACGATGTATACTATATACTGTACACCGGGATATATACAATGTATACTATATACTGTACACCGGGATATATACGATGTATACTATATACTGTACACCGGGATATATACGATGTATACTATATACTGTACACCGGGATATATACGATGTATACTATATACTGTACACCGGGATATATACAATGTATACTATATACTGTACACCGGGATATAAACAATGTATACTATATACTGTACACCGGGATATATACAATGTATACTATATACTATACACCGGGATATATATACGATGTATACTATATACTATATACCGGGATATATACAATGTATACTATATATACTGTATATACCGGGATATATACAATGTATACTATATACTGTACACCGGGATATATACGATGTATACTATATACTGCATACCGGGATATATACGATGTATACTATATATACTGTACACACCGGATATATACGATGTATATACTATATATACTGTACACCGGGATATATACGATGTATACTATATACTGTACACCGGGATATATACGATGTATACTATATACTGTACACCGGGATATATACGATGTATACTATATACTGTACACCGGGATATATACAATGTATACTATATACCGGGATATATACGATGTATACTATATACTGTACACCGGGATATATACGATGTATACTATATACTGTACACCGGGATATATACGATGTATACTATATACTGTACACCGGGATATATACGATGTATACTATATACTGTACACCGGGATATATACAATGTATACTATATACCGGGATATATACGATGTATACTATATACTGTACACCGGGATATATACGATGTATACTATATACCGGGATATATACGATGTATACTATATACTGTACACTGGGATATATACGATGTATACTATATACTATATACCGGGATATATACAATGTATACTATATACCGGGATATATACTATGTATACTATATACTGTACACCGGGATATATACGATGTATACTATATACTGTATACCGGGATATATACAATGTATACTATATACTGTACACCGGGATATATACGATGTATACTATATACTATATACCGGGGATATATACAATGTATACTATATACTGTACACCGGGATATATACGATGTATACTATATACTGTACACCGGGAATATATACAATGTATACTATATACTGTACACCGGGATATATACGATGTATACTATATACTATACACCGGGATATATACAATGTTATACTATATACCGGGATATATACGATGTATACTATATACTGTACACCGGGATATATACGATGTATACTATAATACTGTACACCGGGATATATACAATGTATACTATATACTATATACCGGGATATATACGATGTATACTATATACTGTACACCGGGATATATACAATGTATATATAGTGTGCCCCCCAGCCCCCCATCACACCTGTATAGAGGGGGGTCCCCTATGTGCTCTAACTGCCAATTGTCACACTGACAGCAGAGGTGCCCAATCCCCCCTCCCCCACCTCTGAGTGACCCCCCCCCCCGGCCTGCAGCAGCCCCATATTACAGCGATTGTTATGATTGGTCACGGCCATCCCCCCCCCCCCCCCCCCCGACACCATTATTATGTTTTCTGTTCATACAAACAATTTCCTTCTAAAGTGTTACAAAGAAACAATTCACACCGGAGCAGACTGGATCCGACCAATCCGTGTACAGCGCCACCGAGTATGTCAGAGCTATATAATAGTGTGTGACTGCGGGGAGGGGACATTAGAGTGTAAGCTCCTCTGTACAGAGACTGATGTGACTGTGGGGGAGGGGATATTAGAGTGTAAGCTCCTCTGTACAGAGACTGATGGGACTGCGGGGGAGGGGACATTGGAGTGTAAGCTCCTCTGGTACAGAGACTGATGGGACTGCGGGGGACTGCTTGGGACTGGGGGCATTAGAGTGTAAGCTCCTCTGGTACAGAGACTGATGGGACTGCGGGGGAGGGGACATTAGAGTGTAAGCTCCTCTGTACAGAGACTGATGGGACTGCGGGGAGGGGACATTAGAGTGTAAGCTCCTCTGTACAGAGACTGATGGGACTGCGGGGGAGGGGACATTAGAGCGTAAGCTCCTCTGGTACACAGACTGATGTGACTGCGGGGGGGAGGGGACATTAGAGCGTAAGCTCCTCTGGTACACAGACTGATGTGACTGCGGGGGAGGGGACATTAGAGCGTAAGCTCCTCTGGTACACAGACTGATGTGACTGCGGGGATGGAGGAGGGGACATTAGAGCGTAAGCTCCTCTGGTACAGAGACTGATGGACTGCGGGGGAGGGGACATTAGAGTGTGAGCTCCTCTGGTACAGAGACTGATGGGACTGCGGGGAGGGGACATAGAGTGTGAGCTCCTCTGGTACAGAGACTGATGGACTGTGGGGGAGGGGATATTAGAGTGTCAGCTCCTCTGGTACAGAGACTGATGGGACTGCGGGGAGGGGACATTAGAGTGTCAGCTCCTCTGTACAGAGACTGATGGGACTGCGGGGGAGGGGACATTAGAGTGTGAGCTCCTCTGGTACACAGACTGATGTGACTGTGGGGGAGGGGACATTAGAGTGTAAGCTCCTCTGGTACACAGGACTGATGGGACGGGGGGGGGACATTAGAGTGTGAGCTCCTCTGGTACAGAGACTGATGGGACTGCGCGGGGTGAGGGGACATTAGAGTGTAAGCTCCTCTGTACAGAGACTGATGGGACTGCGGGGGAGGGGACATTAGAGTGTGAGCTCCTCTGGTACACAGACTGATGTGACCTGCGGGGGAGGGGACATTAGAGTGTAAGCTCCTCTGGTACAGAGACTGATGGGACTGTGGGGTACATTAGAGCGTGGTCAGCTCCTCTGGGTACAGAGACTGATGTGACTGTGGGGGAGGGGACATTAGAGTGTAAGCTCCTCTGTACACAGAGACTGGTGTGACTGTGGGGGAGACTACAACCTTCGGACATTAGAGTGTAAGCTCCTCTGGTGCAGAGACTGATGGGACTGTGGGGGAGGGGACATTAAGAGTGTAAGCTCCTCTGGTGCAGAGTCTGATGTGACTGCGGGGGGGGGGGGGGGGGGGGGGGGGGGGGGGACATTAGAGTGTAAGCTCCTCTGGTACAGAGACTGGTGTGACTGCGGGGGAGGGGACATTAGAGTGTCAGCTCCTCTGGTACAGAGACTGATGTGACTATGGGGGAGGGGACATTAGAGTGTCAGCTCCTCTGGTACAGAGACTGATGTGACTGCGGGGGAGGGGACATTAGAGTGTCAGCTCCTCTGGTACAGAGACTGATGTGACTGCGGGGGAGGGGACATTAGAGTGTCAGCTCCTCTGTACAGAGACTGGTGTGACTGTGGGGGGTACATTAGAGTGTCAGCTCCCCTGGTTTCAGGCAGGCTGATACTATGGATAGGTGGGTCAGTTTCGGGGGTCTTGATGCATTGTGCCCATACAATGGATCCAGGGGGTGAGGGGGAGGGATTCTGGATGGATCTGGTTTATGGGGCGATAGGTTCTCGTGTTCTTTGATTTCTCGGAAGTCTCTATTCAGCGAATGTTTGGCCCCGTCACTCCCTGGTGGAACCTGTCGGACGACTTCTCGTTGTGTCAGGACTGGACTGGATCTTTCTGTCTTCACATTGTTATTAAAATACCTGCTGTGATGGTATCAGTGCCCTGACCTAGAGAACACAATGTGCACCGTGCTGCTCTTGGCCCAGGAGCTGACACTCCGATGTTACACCTGATAGGGATGGCTGGCTGTGGAAGGGATAGGTGGGAAGTAGGGATTATATTTGTAGTGATATATTCTCCTGTCCCTGTTGGGATTGGGGTGATGTTCTCTGTTGGGGGGATGTTCTCTGTTGGGGGGGGATGTTTTGGGGCTCATTCCATTCATTCATCATGGCCACCATGCTGGTAATGAGTTTAAATTCAGCGGCTATACAGCACCCTATGAAGCTACGCTGCAGTTTTAATGACCCCCCCCTTCCTGTACACACACCACTCTTCCTTGGTCTCCTGACTCACCTTCTTCTCAATCATAACAAGGATCAAGGAAAGATGGAGGAATGCCCGGGTGGGGATCAGGGAGAGATGGAGGAACATCCCAGGTGGGGATCAGGGAGAGATGGAGGAACATCCCAGGTGGGGATCAGGGAGAGATGGGAGGAACATCCAGGGTGGGGATCAGGAGAGAGATGGAGGAACATCCAGGGTGGGGATCAGGGAGAGATGGAGGAACATCCCAGGTGGGGATCAGGGAGAGATGGAGGAACATCCAGGGTGGGGATCAGGGGAGAGATGGAGGAACATCCCGGGTGGGGATCAGGGAGAGATGGAGGAACATCCCGGGTGGGGATCAGGGAGAGATGGAGGAACATCCAGGGTGGGGATCAGGGAGAGATGGAGGAACATCCAGGGTGGGGATCAGGG